CGCATGATCTTCAGAAATCAATCATATGCTGATTTGCTGCTCAAGAAACATTTCTGATTATTATCTATGTTGACAACATTGCAGATAATGCATCCTTGATTAATAAAAGCATGATTTCTTTGTGTCTCAAACTGAAGGCCCTGTTCAAAAACGGAACAAGCTGATCATTTATGAGCTGTCATTTTTTATTATTTTTAAAAAGACACGAAAAACGCATTTCAGACATACAGTTGCCTGAGCATACTTCTTCTATTATGAAGATGCAATTTATAAATTAAAATTAACTTTAAATTTGTCCTTAAATACGACAAAAAAAACCCTCATCATTAAAGAGATTCAATTCTTACAAAAACCTTATTTAGTAGTTTTTTTTATAGTATTTATTTATAATTTCTTGTTGAAAAAAAAAAACAATATTTTGTTAAAATATTTCTACTATAAAAAATTGAAGTCATTCATTGTAATCAAACTCAAATGTGACCCTGCAGCACAAAAGCAGTCTTAAGTCGCTGGGGTATATTTGTAGCAATAACCAACAATACATTGCATGGGTCAAAATTATCAATTTTTCTTTTATGCCAAAAATCATTAGGATATTAAGTAAAGATCATGTTCCATGAAGATATTTTGTACATTTCCTACCGTAAATATATCAAAACTTAATTTTGATTAGTAATATGCATTGCTAAGAACTTAATTTGAACAACTTTAAAGATGATTTTCTCAATATTTCGATTTTTTTGCACCCTCAGATTCCAGATTTTCAAATAGTTGTATCTCGGCCAAATATTGTTATATCCTAACAAACCATACATCAATGGAAAGATTATCTATTCAGCTTTCAGATGATGCATAAATCTAAATTTTGAAAAATGTAAGACTTAAGACTGGTTTTGTGGTCCAGGGTCACAAATGATATGATATCATAGACCCTTCAGACCATCATGACTGTATGTGAAGGTTAATAAGTCTCTTAATATATCAGATAATTAGCTGTTTATATTGTAAGTCTATAGGTGAAGGTGTGTGTGTGTGTGTGTGTCAGATTGTCTGGTGCTGTGCGTGTATAAGGAGCGCGGTGTGAAGGAGAGCAGCGTGACGCTGGAGCACATCTGCGGTCTGGAGGCGTGTGTCGGCGGCGACGGCGTTCCCTTCATCCTCTCAATCCTGTGTCTCAGTCAGAGCGCCGTGCTCGGGTTCGACAGCAGGGAGGCGCTGCAGAGCTGGGACCTGTGGCTGCGCTACTGCCTCGGGGAAGGTCAGAGGTCAACATTCAACACAAACAATATTCACTTACAGTCCACAATAATCAATAATAAACCTGAGTCTGTTGGGTCTGTTTCTGTAATAAATAGGGAGTTTAGTGTAATGTGTCATGCCCAACGTTTAAAATGCTTTTTTTCACACACACACAGCTTTATGAGCTCATATTGATTCAAAGACTACATGGAATAATTAATTTCATATTTAGTATAATATATATATATGACCCTGCAGCACAAAAGCAGTCTTAAGTCGCTGGGGTATATTTGTAGCAATAGCCAAAAATACATTGTATGGGTCAAAATTATACATTTTTCTTTTATGCCAAAAATCATTATGATATTAAGTAAAGATCATGTTCCATGAAAATATTTTATACATTTCCTACCGTAAATATATCAAAAATGTATTATCATTAGTAATATGCATTTCTAAGGACTTCATTTGAACAACTTTAAAGGAGATTTTCTCAGTATTTAGATTTTTTTGCACCCTCAGATTCCAGATTTTCAAATAGTTGTATCTCGGTCAAATATTGTCCTATCATAGCAAATAGTGATGCGCGGATGGCGGTTATATCCGGGGTGGGTCGGGTAATAAAAAAATGCATTCTGAGTATTTGC